GCAAGCTTGTTGAACGAGGCGGCTAGGTTCCTTGCAGGCTTGAAATCGTGCTTGGGTTTGGGGTTTAGGGGCTTTAGGGTTTAGGTTTTCATTGATTAGAGGCAAAAGTGTGCAACAGTAGACCTTTCTGCTGCTCAGCGTCGTGGTGATCTCTGAGTCTTCCAAGTGGAAGCTATATGGCATCTCTTCCTTGCTCTCCCACCCATCCGCGAGGTTTGTTTAGGGTTTAGGTTGTCTTACGAATTGTGGGGTGCAGTGGCTCATCCAAGCGGCCGCATTCTCGAGCAGCTGGTTCAGAAGCCTTTAGTTGCTGTCGGCTGTGGGCTCAACAACCACACATGCATGATGTGCATCCTGAACAACGCCTCATGATGCCACGGCCTATTCATTTCACAGGACCCGTGTCCGCGGGATCGGCAGCCGGATTTGCGTCCAGGGCACGTGCCAAGCTGCTCTCTGGACGTACCAAGGGGCACGTCCAGCTGTGGGCCAGCAGATTTCCTCACACATCGCAAGCCGAGAGCTGAGGCATCTTGAGCGCAATGCCGTTCAGCTTTCAACATCGTTGAACATGGCTGGGTTCTGTGTTGCATTTCGAAAGCGGGCGCAAGGGGAGGATGGGATAGCTGGGTATCGGGGAAGCAGCTTGTCCAATCTCAAGCGGCTCCAAACGCGCGAAGACCGCTTGATGCTCAGCAGTGACATGTGGTCAAGACAGCTGTCTGAGACTCACACCCTTCCGGGTCCACGAACTCAATGAGGGCTTGGCCTGGGTGTTTAGGGTTTAGGGTTTAGTAACCGGGGTTTAGCAGAAAGCCTACAAGGAGAGCCCAAAGTCACAAAGCACTGCCCACATGGCCCACATGAAGGCCTGAGATTTAAGCACGGGGCCATCGATAGCCAGAGTTGCTTGCGCAGCAGCTTTGAGTTTCGACGTCGCCGCCTCTTCTATGGGCGCGAGTTCAACTTGTGCTCTGACCGACTGCAGGTGAGTTTGTACTATCCCATACTTTATCTTCATCTTATCTTTACTCTATTCTTTCATTGCTGCTGTCTTACATCCTTACCCCCCTTAGTATTGCATCATGAGTCTTCGATTTCTATGCCATTCTATTCCGTTATAGCCAATATACCATATACGAGAGTTACAAAGTTCTGAGCCTCCTGGGCCGCTTTCTTGTCGGCCACTCTCCTCGGACACACGACTCGCTTTTTTCCGTCCAACTTTCAGAAGCTTCAAAGAAGTGCTCGCGTACCTTGGGAAAATATAGCTATGAACAAGAATCGTCATACTCTACATATAATAACAATACAAATATCGTATAATCGAGTAATAGTGACATTAAGTCCCTTTTGGGGGGGTTCTCATTTCAAGGGTGCCGTATGATTCCGAAAAATGCCAGAACGGACCCTAACTTTGAAAACTACCCTCTTGAGAGCTCGGGTACCTGGACCAAGTGAGCCAAGTCGCCTTTTCTTATTCGGCCGTGCTGACATGGGAAGCGGCAGAATCTCTACAGAGTCAACACAGCACGTGCCTCATTACATGCAGTAGCGTAGTTGAATGCTGCACCGTTTGGGCTGCGCCATTTAGCTAGTAGTTTGCGATATCCTGCTGCAAATCGGAGGCTGCCGAAATTTCAGCTGCGACCGAGCGACCGACGATTTTCAGTACCAACAAGAGTGGTTCGGCGGTGCTTTTTGTGCTCTCGTGCGCGGCGCCCCATCTGCGCGCAGCGTTCAGAGTCTGATTTTGCCGAGTGCCAGCATGCAGTTCAAAGTTCTGATCGTGTTGCCACTCCTTCGTGGCAGCCGACAGTAACAGGGGAGTTGAGTTCTGTACATAACGAATACATAATGTACACTTTTCAGCAGTGATGTTCACATGGTTCTCCTCTGTACAAATTCTGAGACCATCTTAACACCCTGCTCAGCAGTGCGGATCGGCTCCAAGCATTTACAGAGCCGCATAAAGGAAGCAATGGACACATACTATCTGAAAACACATCCTTCTGGACCTCTGGTACTCGCACCTTTCCCATCTTGAGAGGACTGGGCGCCGTCTAGCACTATGTGTCAGAACTTCACTCTGGCTTTGGCGATCCTGACTGGCTGCGTGCAAGCATTCACAGCAGGTCGGCTAATGTTCAATAAGTTACCCTTTTCAACCCTATAGCCCGAAATCCTAAACTCCGTAACCAAGAATATGCTCTTCCAAACTAAGGCTCCAAGGTCACTCGGCGAGTGGGACTCTAGCCAGCAACTCATCGAAGATATTGCCGGTGCGACGGCGAGGGTTGACGTTCCTCGCCATGGGCTCTACATCTGTGAACTGCCTTTTACTATCTGCTAGCAACGAGTTCGCATCTTTGTCACATTTCATATCTGATTATCCCTGTAGACTGGTCTGGGCTCCCATGAAGGCCCAGCAATTGGCCTTTGGAGAGTCTACCAATCTACCACCAAGTGTCACAACAGTGCTGCGCCGGACGACCGTGCGTGTCGGTCGTAGCTGCTGTCGTGTCTGGTTGAAGCTGCTGCCTGTAGTACACAGCGGCAATGTCTGGAGCTGTAAGATGGCTTTGTCTTGTGTTGGGAATGTGAACAGCAGAGGCCGAACATGTATAAAGAATCATAAGGGTAGACTAAGGCTTGAATAAGGACAACACTTACCTCACAGCCACGGAATACGATTCGCTCCGCGGGGTTCTTTCAGAAAGACATCATTGGGAACAACTTCTCTTGCAGCCATGGATGCCGACAGGGAACGTCCGACTGGCAACCTGGCAGGTATGGAAACTTGGTTTAGGGCTTAGAGTTTAGGGTTTTTTTGGGTGTTTAGGGTCTAGGGTTTAGGGTTTAGGAAAGCTTGTAGGAAGCTGCTAAGCCGAGAAGCATCCGGATCTTCTTCCGGCCAACCCTCTGCAGCCAGTGCGAACGCAAGCTCCGCCGAGGTTGGGTCTGCCCTTGAGGTGAAGACCAAGTCCTGGTTCGAAGTCTGACTTTGGGGCTCGCGACTTTTTTTGGTTTGCACCCGACAATAAGCTGATGGACAAGTCATGTGAAACTCGTGTCAAAGAGGACCAAGGAACCATCCCATGGGTCGCCAGAAGTGCCTCGCACATGGCCGGAAGACCTGGGGATCTTATGGGCTGCTTTTACTTCGTCTTATTAATGGGTCCTTTCTGGCGGTCACATGTTAAGGCCTTTTCCCCCAAGCCATCCATCACGAAGTTACCACACGCTACGCTCTCTCCCTGTCACACCTTGTGACCCCACCTCTGTTTCCAAGCCATCCATCACGAAGTTACCACACGCTACGCTCTCACCCTGTCACACCTTACGGGCTAGTACTTATGACCCTGTGAACGGAACCCACCCTCGGGACCCCAACCGCCTAACTTTCCAGGGCTTACCAAAAGACCATACAATTTATAAAGGAAATATAAGTGAGTAAGCGATCGCATGATTTCCATATGAAATTTGGGCTTTTAATGCACTCTTTTGCCGTGCGCTAAGAAAATACGTACACGTACGGGCTGCTTTTTGTCAGGTTGCAGCCTCCTCTTCAATGAATTCGGCGTTGGGCTTCTCTAACAACTTCAAGCCTTCTTCTTGGCACCAAGAGAACCGGTGCGAAACCATGGATGCTGACTTTACCATCCAGAACCAACCGTCCCAAGTCACCCAAACGTCCGATATCTGCATGGTCCAGCTGAAGGCACATGCGGCACGAGCATCTGCATCCTCCAACCCTGGCGAAGTTGCCATGAGCAAGTCGGCCTTATGGCCTGGGCCGGGAGTGCAAATACCCTAAATATCCTGAATCTGAAGATGTTTAGATGCCGACCCTTAAAGCCTTGAGGCCTTTAAAACGACCGAGAAAGGATCACCTGAGGCCTGACACAAGGCCACATGCATTTTGCGTTTCGGCCAATTTCGAATTAAGCTCTAAGTGCAGGCTGGGTGGCACACGAGCAACTTTGGCATGAGCCGAAACCTTGCATCACAAGGGTCATGATGGGCTCAAGTTGCAGATACGCAAGAAGGATAAGGACCCCTGCTGCATAGATTTGCAAACCGCGAGCTGGGCAGGGCACAGGGCCGGGCATAGTGCATAATGCATCTAAATGACTCACAACAGAAACCATTAACACACAACATGCGTCAATGGTCCCTTTCTGTGGGGACCCTTAACAAAGGGACCCTCCGCATGTAGAGAGCCGCATATGCGTGCTGATGCTGCCATCCTGGTAGCTTCTTCAACCCGACCGTCTGCCGAAGCTCTTCGATGCACCATGCAGCTTTGGGCAAAGTGTCCTGCCATTTTGTGCACAATACCCCACTACAGGTTTAGGGTCTAGGGCTCAGGCGTTAGGGCTGGGTCCGAACGTCAGGCTCCTGGGCTCATGACGCGTTCCTGCGAGAAGTTACCCAGGATGTTCCCATTCCACGGTGGCAGGCATTGCTCTGAAAAGACCTTCAGAAGCCTGCTGTCTCTGACAACTTCTGCAGCTAGGCATGATTGGCATTCTTGGCATTGAACCTTGAGACTTCCAACAACAAGGAGATCCTCCATCCGACCCGCATCGAACACAAAGAGTGCCGCGGTGTGGCCGCTGTAGAGTGCTGCAGAGAGGGGAGTGCCTTTAACCTCAGGAGTTGGGCAAAGTATCCACAAATCCCAAAATCCTTCGCCCGTCGATGTGAAGGCAGTCCGAAGAAGGCATCTAGTTGCCGCCCACCTCTGTTCTCCCCTCCTAGTTTTCTTTCGGATTTGCAAATGATGCGATCAGCTGAGCTCACTAAATTCAAGGCTCATCATCTTCAGCTAGTAAACTTCTGGTCCCTGCACATCGATACTGACCAACGTCACCCATCCCGTAAGCCCGCAGGGGGTAACAGGGTCAACAATCATCTTCACTCTTTTGGGTCATGGTCGAAGTGCACGAAATTTTACGAAGCCTCCATAACGCTCCCAACCTTTGCTTTCGGCCCACCGTGCTGCGCTTGTCCACCACAGACACCGGCAGGTTCGTGCCCTCCAGGTTTGCCGAGAAAGCGAACCTGAGTAGCACAAACGATGGCAACGAGGCTCGCTAACTATGTCTGCCTCGCCACAGGAAGGTTGCCACAGCCGTTCACATCCGGAGACCCCTCGCTATATCCCCGGATTTCATAGGGTACCTCATTCCCTCATTCCCTTCGAAACTCAGCACTTCCTTTCATTCCCAAGGCACACGGACATGTCCTTGGCCGCATCGGGTTGCTCAGTGCGTTGTGCCAGCAGCCTGACCAGCGTCGAGATCCTCGGCTCGTCATCAAAAGATTCAACTGGAATACCTGGGCCCCTTCAAACCGGGGGTTTACGAAAAAAGGGGTACCTTATATTCTAAGGGGATCCTATTATTTACGGTCCATATTAGGGCCGTGTTCTCGTAAACCCCCAACTTGTGAAGCGAAGAATCCCACTAGCACGCGCCCCCGTGACGATGAGGCGATAGCGGCTTTGCTTGCCTGGGTGATGCGCTGCTGGAGAGCTTGATCAGGCTTCACGAATCGAGAACTATCTGTTCTAGAACGTTGTGAGAAAGCCCTAAACCCTCTTTTGCCGCCCCTGACTCTCTAAATGACATGTCAGATCCCAACAGCTTGCTGCCTGGCCTTCCGACTTACACAAGGAAATCCCATCAAGGCCCATCAGCATCAACAAAGTCCCAGCCCCACCATAGCCCTAAACCCTAGAGACCCGACAAACCCTAAACCCTGAACCCTACAGAAGGGCCATGTGGCTGATTGGTGCAGGTACCTCGGCCTCCGCGCCCGCGTGAACACTGGATCTTTCGGACCTCAGTCGCTGCATTGCTCCGCAATGCCCACAAAGCCGTATAATGACAAATGGTCTTATAAATGTGTGTGTGTGTGTGTGCGCATAATATGTGAGCAATAAGAACAGAATAGAAATACGTGCAAGACTCTATACTATATATATATATATGTCCATATATGTAGTTAGTGATATTTCTAAGCAAGTAAACGAGCGAATAGACATACATGCAAGCCCAAGATGCAGCAGACCCAACCGTCGAGCTTTGAACATGGCAGACGCCTTGCCCTGCAGCACCACCGAGCTATGCCTCCCGAGCACCAGAAGATGCAGAGTGAACTTTGCAGGTTTAGGGTTTAGGGGTTTAGGGGTTTAGGGGTTTAGGGGTTTAGGGGTCTAGGGGTTAGGGTTTAGGGTTTAGGGTTTAGGGTTTAGGGTTTCGGGTTTAGGGTTTAGGGTGCCCAGTTTGGGCCTCAGAGCGCGTGGGAAGGCAATCTTGGGGTCGGATTGGAACGTTAACTTTGCAAGACTAAACTCGTTCATTCTCAAGAGGCTGCGTCGAATGTGGATGTCATGTTGCACCCCTAAACCCTAAACCCTAAACCCTAAACCCTAAACCCTAAACCCTAAACCCTAAACCCTAAACCCTAAACCCTAAACCCTAAACCCTAAACCCCTTGCCTCAACAGGTCCTGCCACAAAGGCGACGAGGAGGGAAGCGCCTGTCGTGCAAGAAGGAGAGATGGGCAGGTTTTGCTGCACCCCAGTTGTGCCCAAAGCTGTTTGGGGATTTCCGATAATTGGGGGGGTACCCCTTAGACTGATATAATCCTTTTAGAGGAACCTCTGAAACAAGGGTACCCCTAATTTTCGGAAACTCCCCCGTTTTCTGTCATGGGATTCGGGCTGTCCGAGTCCATGCTGACTCTGCCTCGGCCAGGCTTGTGCTCACCTGTCGAAGTGAAGTGAGGGAAGCTCCGCTGCAGTACCTGACAGGCTTGGCAAACCCTAAACCCTAAACCCTAAACCCTAAACCCTAAACCCTAAACCCTAAACCCTAAACCCTAAACCCTAAACCCAACATTTTAGCAGAAGATCTTCCCTCCATGTGGCAGATGCAAAGACTGGCAAAGACTGAAGGATGACTTCAGCTTTCTGCAGACGTGAAGCGCCAAGGCAATGTTCAGGACTTGCGTGTTTGCCAAGTCCTGGGGGGACTTGCAACAGGCCCTCCGAGTTTGGAGCCGCAAGATTCTGAAGCAGCACCTCAGACATTCAGTCGGCTTGTGCAAAAAGAACTCCCAGGGCCTGAAGGCTGCAAGTGACACTTGCAGATGTTGCGGGTGCAGCCATGGTCGGCTTGGGTTACAAGATGCTCAGTGGCGACCTACCCCCAGCTTGCTCGAGCGGCTCACAGGGCGGAGATCCTTTTGCTTTTAATGAGTTCCTCAAATGAACACGTCGCAGTGAGGTCAGACAGAGAGGCAAGAAAGAGGCAGAGTAATGTTAACATAAGCAGGATGCAGCTAAAACGCACGGCCCAACTTTCTTAGCCGCACACGACATCTCATGCTGTACAGACATGTTAACATCCAATGGGCGCTGCCTTTGAGCAAGCCGCCTCTTAATTGAAGGTTGAAGCGAGCGAGCTCCAGACTGTATGGCTTCCAGGCCAAGATGGTAACGTATGGTAGTGGAGGTCTGATAGAAATCGCAGCCCTCATCCATATATACATATATATATATACTGTATGTAAATCTGTATATCTTGTCCTCTGAGGCTTTTGGGGACGCTTTAGAACTTGAGCAAGCCCTTCTTCTCCAGACTGAACAGCTTGGTGACCTGAGCTACAACTCCTCAAGGTCGACTTAAGCTTCAGAACAGCTTGCCGGCCCCTCACCGACATTCTGCGCAGGTAAAAAGCTATGGCACACAGGACTTCTGGCCCTAGCACCATGGCAACTTGGTGGCTTGGCCTAGACATGGGATTCTGGGCATGACTGCGGCGCGATGCTATGGCCACTGCATATGAGGAATTGGGATGGACCAGATGACCAACTGACATCCGGCATCCAGAGCTGACCGAAGACCAGGCCCATTGAAATGCCAGGCCCGGTATTGTGGAGCGAGGGAGCTCCACTGCTGCTTCTATACATACGCAAAGCATGACATCCAAGTGCGCATGAAAGATGGCGACGAAACTACAAGTGTCCCTTCCCATGGCATCGCCGGCAGTCTTTGCAGAAGAAACACTTCTCGTCACGAGCCTGCACAGGGGAGCTACGACACTTACGACGCAGCTGCAACGAGTGGCCACACGAACACATGGACACAGCGAGGGCCATTGAAAAACCACGCCCATGCTCAAATGTCCTTATGTCTCTAACCACCCTGAACCCGTGGTTGCATCCGGCGGCACTGTGGGCTGGGGCCCAGAACGTGCTAGCTGTGGGCCTTGTCATGATTCATGGAGGACTCGTGGACGAAGCCATGCCCATGGCAATGTGTGCCTGTGTAGGTATCATCAGCAAACATGCCGGCTCTTGTCTAAGCACCTTATGAAGGAGAACCACAAACCTTGGTGTATCTGTTGGCGAAGCTCACCCAGCTTGCTAGCGCCTTTTGGCTATCCTCATCTTCGGCAAGAGTGTGATGACGTTCAGTGTGCACGGTAGTGTACACCTACAGAAGTGTGGCCATCAGCTGAAAGCTCTTTAAAGCTCCTCCTTCTGAGGGTGTATAATATGGGGTGTTGAGGGTTCATAGGGTTAAATTCCAGAGTTTATAGGGTTTAGCACAAACAAGGCCAAAGGGGCACATCTGACCGTGCTTGGTCCATGGGGTCGCTCCCTCAATCTGGCCCCTTCCGTTGCAGCCGGAGCAGTCCTCTTCACAAGGGTGTTGGCTTGGCTGATGCGGGGGTGTACGAATTTTGAAGGACCCCTCCCCCCCCCCCCATATGGTCCAAAAATAGTAGGGTTCCCTCATAATACGGACCCCCAAAAAAGTACCCCTGTAATTTCGGAAATCCCCATGCGCAGGTTGTGCTTCATGTTGCCTTCTTGCCGTGGACGCATCAACTGACACTGGTTGTTGGTGGTGGCCAGATAGCTTGACGCATTGAACCGTCCTTGCAGAAGAAGCATCGGTTGTTTGGCCCCGCGTCGTGGGTCATACCTGAGCACCACTCTTTTCTATGCTCTTATCGGGAGTACGGGCTAGTCTGACAAGCTGGTCGGTGACCACGCTGCAGGGGAAATACATAGCAATGCCCACCCCGCGAAAAATGTCTTGTCCATTCACCCATTCAGTCGTCTGGAGTCTTGGGCTGACTCGCACAAGGCAAGATCAGTTGAGACATGCTGAGACTTCCGTGAACCCTTTATTGCAGTAATGAGGCGTAACCCCTCAGCTAAACTATCTGCACATTTCGTCTTGGGTGTTTGTTCACTCCCGCATAGCTTGTCGGCGACTAAGAAACGAGCATGTTGCTCTTCTGATGTCGTAGGTTCACCAAACCTTTCAACACATAGCTCTGGAAGGGGGGGGGGAGGGGGAAGATTCCACTCCTCTTTCGAACCTTTAAGGACAAACAGAATTTTGAATAGTGCCGGGAGCCACAGTGTGCTTCCACGCTTTTCCAGCTGCTTTTCTATATCCCGTCAGCCGTTTCTACCACACCTTTCGAGCTGCTCTTCCATGCCGAGCCATCCATGACATGTTTACCACGATTTTCTTGCTTACATAAGCGTCCACGCACTTAATGGTCCGTGCTTCCGTGCAGTTCTTGCGTTCGTCTGGCCCTTTTGCTACGACCGCCGCTCTGCACTATCTTCGGGTGAGCCAAGCCACTTGAATCGTGGAAGAAGCCCTTGCCCTCGCACTTGAAGCACTGCTGCCGCCCTCCGAACCCAGACATTCCGAACGCCTCCATGAAGCCCCCATCGTGGCCTTTTCCAGAGAATCGGGAGCTGTTCGCTGAAGTCCAGACGAAAAAGGGACCTGACACCTTTAACCTTCTAGTGACAACAGACTTGACAATGACATGTTAACCTCTGTTTGCCTGAGCCATGGTGATGGTGGTGGTGGCCATGGTGGCGGTGATGCGGGCTATTGCCCCTGCCCCAGCAAGCATCACAATCCTCACAGAAGAAGCACCGCTTGTCTGGGCGCTCATCATGGTTCATGGTCGAAGTGTGGCGGAAGCCACGCCCGTCACACTTGGAGCAGTAACCCTGATGTGAAGAATGGCTGGAGCCATGAAGCATTGCAGCTCCTGCTACTCCAGCCAGGACGCCCGCCACTGCACCTGCCCCAAGCATGCCAGCTCCAAATCCTCCACTACCTCCGCTAGCAGGTGGAGCTGGGCTTGCTTGCACTGGATAGCCGCTGGGATAGGCAGGCTGTGGGTAGGGCTGGGTAGTTACAGGTGTGGCATAAGGTGAAGCCACCGGCACTCCCTGGACAACTGGTGTGGCTGGCACGGCGGGCACAGCCACCGGCGCTGCCATGGCGGGTGCTGATGCCTGCAGTGCTTGCTGCGCCTGCAGTGCTTGTTGCGCCTGCACAGTAGTGACAGGGGAGCCTGGCACGGTCACAGCGGCCGTGCCCGGCATCGGCTGAGCCACTGCAGGCAGCGGCTGGCCTAGTGGCATCGGCTGGGCCACTGCGGCCACGGCAGGCATTGGCTGGGCCACTGCCACCCCTTGTGCTGTGGCGTACGCTGGTTGGCCCAGTGGTGCAGGTGACAAGAATGCGGCCAAAGCAGGCACCTGAGACAGGCTCTGGATTTGGCTGGCGAGGTGGCTGAGATAGTTTGCAAGTCCCCGCTGCCGCTCGGCATTGAAGTTGCCGAGGTTTAACATCTTCCGGAGGCCAACGGTGCCCTTCGGTGGCAGCTGCAAGCGTGATAAGTTGACCGTGCTAAGCTGGGCGTCCAAGTCCAGGAACTGACTGTACCGCTTCTTGCAAAGCCACTCCCGCAAATCCTCAACGACACGGATACTGTACCTTGGGCTGGCACACAGCTTGCATACATTGCACCGGGGTCCTCGACACAGCTTTCCCAGGTTCACAGGACAGCAGTGCAGCTCACGGAAGAGGCCTACAGTACACCAAGCTGCAAAGTAGACCACTACTAAAGCCATCTCCCCGAAACCCTAAACCCTAAACCCGAAACCCTAAACCCGAAACCCTAAACCCTAAACCTATATATATAGGTCATTGCATCCACAAAGCCAGGTTGTTCCGTCGAACTCGGAGCTGTCCAGGAAGCTAATCTGCACGACCATGACCTTGGCGTGTCTATCTTGTTTCGACGTTCACACTTGCACACAAGGCAGGTGATCATCTTTGTATACATTACTCACATCTCCCTTTTCATGTCCCCATACCCCCACCCCCCCCGCCCATGATCCACTGCTGGGCTTAATTGCTTTGCGTTGCACCTTGGCAAAACCACAAGGCTCTTGCTTTCGGTGGATGATGCTCACTGGGTAGGTGGCAAGGGCCTGCTACTCAGAACCTTGAGCCCAGAAATGCAAGTGTCAGGTAGCCTGCAGGAGGGCGCCCTGCTCTGCACGTGCTTTTTGGTGTCGCCTCTAGCAATCCGACACACCAACCATGGGCTTACGCAGCGCGCCCTCCCCAAGGCCAGCCTGTTGACATGGGCCTCGGCATGGACCATCCTCTGAGATGTCTGATTTGTTAATGAATGTGGGGGCTTACGACAGTTTACGATCATAGGGGTACCTTATTGGGGTCCTTTTGTAAGGGGATCCTACTATTTGGGGGTCTATATTCGGGGTCCCTTCTTATCGTAAACTCCCATATGTCTTGGGCTAGCTCGTGGGTTACTTCAAGATGCTTGGGCCATGTGATGCTTCTTCATTTCGTGACCTGGGCGCAGCTTGGGCCATTCCAGAAACATTGGCGAATTTCTGGTGCCACGCCGAACCTCTCCCCGGGACCACCTCCAAACTTGCAATGACTCGAATGTGTGGGGTTTGAGGCTTCACTAGGGTTGTGAGTGCAAACTCTTGGCGTTCTTTTCCCCGCAGCATGTCTTGGACATCGCAGGACTAAGTGCTGAGACCATGCAGCTCGGCATGTCATGAGCACAACTGCTTGCATGGTGTGCGTTGCCCCACACCACTTTGTGAAGCTCATCTAGTTTCTGTCTGACTAATTAGGTGAGTCACCATCACGTCCATACTGAAACCTCCAGTGGAGTCGTTATGGTTTCTCTTGAGTTCTTTAGTCTATTGCCCCCCTGACGGAATTCTGGCGTCTCTCAGTTCTTTTGGCCGGAAGACTTCCGCGAATGCGCGCCTGGAAAAGTTCGGCGATTCTGTCTACAAGTCGCACACACACACACACAATGCCATCACACACTGCCCCCACATACGGTGCCCGGATGATGCCGTACTATGGCAGGTGTCAGACCTTGCGGATCCTGTGGCGGGCCTGATGGGCCTGTAACATGCTGGACAGGGTGGTCCTGTCTTTTGGTTAGTAAACAGATCCCTGCTCCCTCCTAGTCCCTAATCAGCACCCCTTAAAGGAGATACCTTGACCGACCTGTCTATTCTCTATTCGGGGCACTCGAAAAGGACAACGCGAATGCTGGAAAGATGCTTTTTCCTTCAAGCCCGCGAGCCGCTCGACCGGTGGACTGTGGATGACTGCGGATGACTGTGGAGTCTTGCTCCCCGCACGAGCCTTGCTGACGATGGTCCTATCATCGTACTTACCTACCACCACAAAAACCATCTGGAGCAACTAGCAGCCAGACCAGGATGCTTGGTTATTGAAGTGTTTGGTTGATTTACAATTGTGTAGATCTGCAGCACTGTGCTATGGAGTGTGGGGGGCTCAGATGGCCTAGCAACGCTAGATGCACAGCAACAGAGCTACACTAAGCCGACTGTTCATCACGGCAGACTATCGTATCTATCGTGCAGGAAGCCCAAAAAGAGCCACGGTGAACCAAGTCGTCTTGTGCCGCCAGAGGCGCCACAAACCTTCCAACTGCACAGATTTGCCGGGGGCATGCGTGACAAAACTCTGTGTCACGCCACACCACTGACCATGGAGGTATTGCGGCCTGAAAAATGCTGACAGGACAGCGCCTCACCTTTCCGGGGCCTTCGAAGCTTGTTTGTTAAGTTTAAGTTGGTGTGTGGAACATCGGCCGAGAGAAAAGCTGCAGGAGGCCCTGACAACTGGCAGCCATGTTGAATATAGTAGGGATGCTGGCGGTGGCATCACGAAGATGAATCAAGATTAGCGCTGAGCTGTTTGTGATCCTGGCGCCACCGTCCCGGTAGAGCCAGCTCAACACAGCTCGACTTCCACAAGCAGTTCTGCAAAATGCGGCCTGAGGGCCCCACAGCCGATGATTGTTCAAGGGTGTCATTATGTCATTCTTGCCCGCACATGCAATCACCCAAGCTCAGCAATACAAAACAAGCATTTTTCACGTTCCATTGCACTGCAGTACGATATTTGGATCTTTGAGCACCTGGCGTAAAAGACCATGACCACAACGATGGCACATGCGCATCGGCTTCGGCCCTGGACTGATATGGATTACAATGCAACTGAAATCGGGAACAGTTGTTGCTGTTATTTTTAGGGGAGGGGGATTCCGAAATGAACACAACAATAGAAAACAATAGAAAATCTTGAGTGCTCTCATACAGCACGCCGTTTTCTTGCGTACTACTAGGGGTACACTCATCTATAAAGAACTGAGAAACCACTTCCATCATCAAGAATGCGTTTTCGCCGCTTTATTGTTACGATGAACAGGGAGACCATGTCGGTTATTCATACGGGGTGGGTGAAACACCAGCAATCAAAATCTGTAAGCATAACATGCCGAGAATGACGGCGGTACTGATTAAAATGCACAACGGGTGCTTTTCAGAATCGATGATTATGTAAGAATACGTGGTACACAACGTATGATGTTTTGTGCACCTCCACAAGAGGGCAACCATGTCCATTACTGTGTGGCATTCGTATTTCGGACATACTGGACATGCCTCTCCATAACTGCTGTGTTGACACTGCTTTGGGGGGCTAAATTCCATTCCAGTCCTTCATATGCCACATTCGATTGCGCTCCATACCATCAATGACATACATACTTACTATTCCTGGCCTTGCATACATACTTCCCAGCGTCATGCCTACATGCCCCAACCACCATTACAATTTCGAGACGCTGGGGCCCGCGGAGTCAAAGATTTGCGGCCGTCGGCAGAATGCTGTGGATTGCGCATGCCTTCCACTGCCTTTGCGTGGGTGCGCGACGGCAAAGATCCGCAGGAAGGATCCGTGACACTCCTTTATTCAATGCGTACTCAATATTGGTGATCCAAACCCACCATGAGCCCGTCTTGCACACTTGCAGGCCTGCAAACATCTCTCTGTGCAGCAGTTGTCATTATCTCATGCCTGACGACAGCTGGCATGCTCGCAGTTGTATGGGTGCAGAAGGCAAGTTGGTGGCTGAAGGAATCGTGCACCACTTAGTAAGTCAGGAACATCGACATGGCAGTGGCCCCGACTTCTTTTATCTTAGTTTGACTGCTGCGAGCAATGCCACAAAAGCACACCGTGATTCGGTGCAATGTCGGGAAGCTGCCTTCAAAGCAGTCTTCACATGCGAAGAGGCGCCGACTCACAATATATATATATATAATTTTTATATACATAATATAAACATATATATGTATATATACAGTTGTATATATATATATATGTAGATACACACACAAAAGGCGTGTTTCAGAGTCGAGCACCACCTCTTGTCATGAACGTGCAACCCGCACAAGCCTCAAGTTTCCGCAGCTAGTCCGACGCTTTCAGGTAAAAGGTCAGAAAGCGCCTTGGATGTGGAGGTCATGGTAGGGCCATTGCATCTCGTATTGTTGGATCGGTCGCAACGCCGCTCTCAGGACACTTACTTCGGATGCAGAAACTGAAGCTCAAGGCAAGAGTGGCCTCCAGGATCCCATGCTACTACCCAACATCTGCTCAGCGCCAAGGAAGAGAGTCGTAAGATAGTCCAAGCATGAATCATGTGTCTCCCAAGTTTACGTTCGTGTAGCAATGTGAAGCCAAGGCTCTTTTGTGGCCAGGTGCATCCTCTGCGCATCGGCTACCTGAAGTGAGGTATTTAGGTGGTTGGCTCGCTTTCTGCAACAGCAGCAAGGTAACAGGGGTTGCATCCATGGCATCTACGCGTACTGCACCTGATGCACCAAGGCCACTCAGGGTCCACCATCTTGCAAGTCGAGGTGCGCGCCGCATTTGGAGCAACGACACCCGCCCCGTGCGGATGACCTGCTGGTGAAGCAGCGAGCACAAGCGCGCACGCGGCCCGCGTCTCTCAGACTCAAGCTCATCAACTTGAACACCCAAAAAGCGGCCATACTGCGTGAAGCTGCAAAGAAACCTCTTTCCGTCATTCAGAGTGACAGAGCTAGGTGAAGGAACCTTTGCTGGACCGGTTGGGGCCTGCTCCTGCTCGGCGCTGAGATTCTTGATCTTCGCAACGCCTGTGCGCGGTCAAGATTCTGACAACCCAACAGTTGCTTCTCATCTGCAAACCATCTGCGTGCTTCTACACACATGTTGATATATATATATATGTATGCATATGTATGTATATATACATATATAGATATATATATATATATATATACATATTTGCTGTGCATATAATGGATATACAGTAGCTGACAGCCTGTTCTAAGGCACCCCCTGGCGCCTGGGAACATCCTGAGAACCAACCTTTGCCGCAGAGAACAATACCTCAGTGGCCGATGACTCAGCTGTGGGTCTTCCCCTCAGATGGGGGTTTAGGGTTTAGGGTTTTTTCTTTTTGCCACCCGCTTAGCTGACCTCTCGTTTAGGGGTTTAAGGTTTCGGGTTTAGGATTTAGGGTCTTCCCCTCAGATGAAGGTTTGCGACAATGGCGTACCTATTTTGGGGGTTCCTAGAATCAGAATCATAGCATATTCGGGGTGTCCTATTTTGGGACATGCTCAGATTCATCCGTCCCCACACCAAGTAAGTAGAGTGACGTAATCGCTCTCCCACCCACACCAACTTGTTCATCGTTGGTGGGCTACACTCTCCTTTCCATCAGTATAGTATAGCTGAAGGTCACCAGTATGCCTAGCCCTACCCAAAAGCCCATGAAAAAAAAAAGCAACTCAGAAAAAATGCCTTCAGGGCATGGCATGCTGGAAGGGTTGCACTGTATAGAGCCGACTGT